AACCGATCCGTCTCCACCATCGACTGGTTGCCGGACTTCGCAGGCCACTGGCCAGTAAGGGAGTCCACGTTATCGAGCAAAAGAGCATATGAATGAGTACAAACCGAAAATTAGCAGTTGTAGGGACTCACACATTGAAACGTTTCGCTGGCGGATTCACGATGGAACCCGAGACTCACTTTCATCGTCGGCTTAAGAGTTCAGGTCGTCGACGCCTTCTGCTGCTTCGGAAGCTGTTTGGTCCAGTCGGCGACGCCTCCCTCCTTCCCTCTCTCTCCCCCTTTCCTCTGCGAAGAAGAACAAAGAAACTCCTCGCCCAAGCTTCCTCTCGTTTTAATTGAAGGCCCAAAAAACTGAATTTGGGCGGCGTTTCGCGTGGGAGGTAGGCGGAAGCCGACGAAAACGGGAGATTCCCGCAAAGCAAAAGAAACGGCTGCCAGAAACGGGACCACCTCCCAAGCTTCCAAGCCGAGGAATCATGGGCGTGGGGGGAAAACGGGGAAGAAGTGACGGTTGCTAAACATGGGCTTCAGTTTGATAAAGGCCCAAAATGGTTCTTCTCTATTTAATTGAAGGCTCAATTGTAGGAAAATGCGGCGCCGTTTTTCTCGGAAGGTAGACGGGCGGCCGGGAAAACATGGGCTTCAGTCAGACAGAGGCCCAAGAAGCTTCCCCTCTTTTTTAAATGTAGGCCCAGAAAAACGAAATCGGGCCACGTTTCGGCTGGGAGGTAGGCGGACGGCCAGCGGAAACAGGTAACCTACGCAAAGCCAAAAAACCGGCGCCCGAAACGGTCGAAACGCGAAACGTTTCGGGTCCTCAAAACCAAAATCGAAACGCGAGAAATTGACGAGAAATTGAAATTGACGAGATATCGCGATATGGTAAAATATCGCGATATTTACGCGATTTATTGACTTTTTTGCGATATATTGACCCTGTGCTGAATTGGCACCTTGAGTAGCCAGAAGGAATGAGAAAAAGAACTGAAATCCAGAGGACGATCGCACAGAGACGCAGTAAACCAACAGAAAACATAGTGCATTCATGAATTGAGCCAAATTTCCTGCATCTAATTGCGATTTGGATTACGGAATGGGTTTGGTGGCCGGAATTCCAGCATCAGATTGCGAACTTGGGGAGTGGAGGCGACGCTGGAGGATGTCTCGGGGTTCTGGTTCTCGTGCATTGGGCTGTACCGATTCGGACGATTACTGCTCTGTTTCGATCAATCCTTGAAGTTCACAGGAGACAGGACCTTTGAAATATTGCAGCTCAAAAATCTGAGGCTCCCTTGCAGAAGCCAATAGGCTGATGATCTGGCGAATTTGCTCTGTTTTTAAGGGACTGATGATCTGACTGATGAGAGAGATACATTCTTTTAGGGGGCAGGCGGGCAGCCCATAGGGTTCCTTGTTTGAGAAGAAGGAGAAGAACGGAAAGCAGGGGAGACAGAGGAAGAGGAAGGAGAAGGAAGTATGTGTTTATGTTGAAAAAGAAGGAAAGGAGCGGGCGTTACTTCTTAGCTCTTACAGATCACTCTGACCCTTAGCTCTGTTTCTTCGTTTTTAAGGGATAGTTGAGCGATCTCTTTAGAAAGATAAGAAAAATAGCAACAGTTAGAGAGAGGAAATTGTGTTTACACCAGGGAGCCAGAAAAAGAAGTAGAAAATCTTCGTCTCGTGCTTAATGCTCTGAAATGTGCCCAACAAGTGATCCCCAGAAAGGAACCACCACAAAATCGAAATGGTGCAAAAGATACGAAATTTTTTACGCCAAGTTTTACAATGACATAGCTACTTGCCAGTAATACAAAGGTTCAAACAATAGTACAGGTAGTAAGAGTGGTAATGTCACTAGCAATAGAAATACACATCCCTCTTCGATAATATTACCATCCCACTCAACTCATGGTTCATCCCTCTCATTGCAAACATGGCATTCACTATGCATATATTATTATGTTTCAGACCCTAAACCCACACAGCAACTCCCCACCCGGGCACAGTAGCAAGCAGCGCCGTTCCTTACTCCTGCAATGCAACCAAGTTCAAATAGTACAACAGTCAGAGGGTGAACCAAAAGAAGAGCGATTGAGGCAGGCAGAGGCTTATATACAGACAGAAGCCCTCACTGCTACAGAAACGCTTACAATATGTTTTACGGGAGGGTTTTGACTGAAAACTAGAGAGTGACCAGAGTGAAACATGAGTTTATGGAAAGAAAAGAAATCCATGATAGACAAGAGTCAGCTACCTGCATCGTTCACATCATAACTTACTAAACTATATTCTTATCTTTGCCTCATTCGAAATGTGGGGTTCATAACTTTCTAAGAGATTAGCTTACTGCTTCGTCTTAAGAGACAACATAATAAATGATGATCGCTGATAAGATGAGATAGACGAACATACCTCGTCGTCTTCATCATCATCATCACCACCATCTTCTTTCTTCTTCTTCAGCTTAGTCGTGCCTCCTTCTTTACTTATTGGCAGCTTCATTGCCCCAAAAGGAGTGTCCACATGGACATTCCCTTTCAACGTATATCCAGTACCTTTCCCCCAGATCATGTCCCACAGCGCAGAGCCAAAGTCCTTGGGCCTGAAGGTGATAGGAATATCGACATAACTTATTCCCTTCTTAGCAATGGTAGCTGACTTTCCCAGCTCAGCGCATCCAATGCTGACATCAGACAACCAAATCTCGCAGTCCAGCGAATTAAGACCCAAGTCAAAGTCAAAGTCATTAAGACCCAAGTCAAATCTCGCAGTCCAGCGAATTAAAACCAACGCTCGAGAATTCTTCGCAGGCCACTGGCCAGTAGGCAATGGTTTGCCAAATTAGCCAGTTCATTGTTGAAAAATGACTTTGCTCAAACTGCTTCAGACTATTCAATTTTTGTTAAAAGAATTCAGGGAAGAATATTGGTTGTTCTGGTGTTTGTAGATGATATACTGATTGCAGGAAGTTCCTTGGGAGATATAGAACAGTTGAAGTTGTTCTTGGGAAGAGAATTCAAAGTAAAGGATCTTGGTGATCTAAAGTTTTTCCTTGGCCTGGAAGTCTATAGAGATGTAAATGGGATTCATATAAACAAAAGAAAATACTGCATGGAATTGCTGGAGGACACTGGATATATGGGAGCAAAGGATTGCTTAGCACCAATTGACTACAAGTTGAAGTTAACTGCTAAGCAAGGGGAGCCTCTTCCTAATCCAGAAGTTTACAAGAGGTTAGTAGGAAGATTACACTACCTTACTATCACTAGACCAGACTTAACATTTGCTATTCAGCAATTATGTCAATTCCAGAAGGATCCATATAGTGAGCACTTACAGGCTGCCTATAGGATCTTGAGGTATTTGAAACATGCGCCAGGACAAGGATTGCTTTTTAAAGGTGATTCTGAATTGAAGTTAAGAGGTTTTTCAGACTCTGATTGGGCAAGTTGCCCTGACACGAGGAGGTCAATCACAGGGTATTGCACCTTGTTTGGAGACAGTCTGATAACCTGGAAATCTAAGAAACAAAGTACTGTTTCTAGATCGTCCTCTGAGGCCGAGTACAGGGCCTTAACACACCTGGTTTGTGAGTTGCAGTGGTTGAAAGGATTACTTGCAAAGATGGGTGTTAAAATTCCTCTACCCATTCAGGTTTATTGTGACAACAAATCAGCTATTCATATAGCTGAAAACCCCGTGTTTCATGAGAGAACGAAACACATCGAGATTGATTGTCATATTACAAGGGAAAGGTTGAAATCTGGATTGATCAAGCTTGAACATGTCAGAACAGAAGATCAGTTGGCCGATCTGTTTACCAAAGGCATGACGAGATACAGATTGAAGTTTCTACTTGGCAATTTGGGAGTTTTGGATATGCACTCGCCAACTTGTGGGGGAGTATTAGAGCTGATCGAAGATGGTTATGGAGAAGATGCAGAGGCTAAGGCTGAAGACAATGCGAAGATGAAGATGAAGTTGGCTGTAACCTGAAGCGATGATGTTTCCTTCCTCCGTTATGTACTAGCCGTTAGTTAATGGTCACTCAGTTAGTGCCACGTGTTTAGGCACAGTAATTTCCTTTCGAATTACCGTTTAACTTACCTTCAGCTTTTACTGTAGACGATTTCCATTTTGCTATTTAAGAGAACAGAGAAGCCGACTGCTCTCTCTGAGTTTTCCCCTCCAATTCATGAGTTGCTTGACCTAGCAGCTTCGTTTTCCTCTTTCTTCTCCTTCTACTTCTTACTTTGTGATGGGCTTGTTCAGTTTTGTAACAAAGAAGCTACTACTGGAGATTATTCTCTGTGTGGCAACTGTTGTATCTTCTTTACAGGAGAGTAAAGAGTTAAATGCCATTATCCTGTGTAGTCAGCTGTTCTTTGTATAACAAGATCTCATTTACTTAATGTGATCATGAGATTAAGATCCTATAATGCCTATTCCCTATCAATTATATCGAAAGCGAAAGTTAAATCAACTACGGCGGGAGTCTGCCTGGACTTCTAGCCACGAATTGGCCCGTTGCTTAAATGGTCGCCGACTGCTACTAAGAACTTCCAGCTATCAAGGAGACGAAAAGCTATGTGAAGTAAAAGAAGAAAAGGTCGCCGACTGCTACTAAGAACCTAACAGAACTTTTTAAAATGTGAGTTCAGCTTCTAAAGAGCTATTGGATGGGAAAGATTTTGCCTTCATGACCTCGAAGAAAGTAGGTCCGACCAAAGGGAGGCGATTGGTTAGACAATTTTTGCCCCTACACCCCCTCACCAGGACCATTCACAAGCTCCCGTTCTGATCCCGCCCCCCGACTGGAATACAAAGCTTGTCCGGATGAAAGAGCGAGTCATCCCTCGCATGAAAATGAACGAGATTTTTTTCATTGCCTCGACTCAACCCTCTGTATTTCCCCCAACTCTCTAATAGTAATACTCCCCTCCCCTGCTCTCACATTTCACAATCCCAACCTTTCCCAATTCCCCTAACAAAAGAAAAATGCAGCTTTCCTCCATTTCCCACCTCCTCCTCCTCCTTCCAATTGTTCTCTGCGTTCAACCCTTTCTACCCTGCCTAACAGGTCTCACTTCCCCACAAGACGTTTCGGCTCTGAAAGCTCTGAAATCGGCCATCTTCCCTGCCTCCATCCCGCCTTGGTCCTGCCTCGCCTCCTGGGACTTCGTCGCGGCTGACCCATGTTCCCTCCCTCGCCGCACCCACTTCGTCTGCGGCATCGCCTGCTCCCCTGACTCCACCCGGGTCACCCAACTCACCCTCGACCCGGTCGGCTACTCGGGCCAGCTCACTAAAGTTGAACCAATAACCAAGGAAAAAATACTTTTTGTATTAAAACAGTAATTCTAACATGCATGAATAAGTTTGACACCCTAAATCTTAGTACATAACAAAGATACAAAGTAAAAGCATCCCAACTTGCACCATAACGTCATAAACATTAACATAATTTCACATAGAGACACGATTATCTCTACTCTCTACTGAAATGTAGTTGTGAATGATGGAGGGGACATGATTCTCAAAATTAAGGTTGAGACTTGGGTGTCGTTGTTGGAGTTGGGAGAGTGGTCGAATGGGTTGTTAACATGTATTGAAAAGTCGGTTGGGTCCGGTAAACCGAGATCTAGACCAGACCAGACCAGACCAAGAAATCAAAACATCAAATAGTACAGACCATGGACCAGACCAGACCATACATAATGGTGTACGGTCTGGACCAAATTGTGCGGTCCGGTTTGGACCACGGTTTTTCTAACGGTCTTGTCTAGTTTTCCAGCCCTAGTCTAAACCACAAATTTAACAAATAGACCACAAGCAGTGGCGGATCCAGTGGGTCGCCCCGGGCCACAGCTTGACCCTCCTCTTGATCCAGAGCTATTATAGTACTTGTAAATTTTCAATTTTAGGTATTTGTTTCAGTGCTCGTCGAGTTACGGCCCAACCCTCTCCGCCTCTTTTCAAATGTGGCACAATTCTCTACCCTGTCTTGAATCCGCCGCTGACTACAAGTCCCATAAAACACACTACAAGTTTCTTAGTAGTGGATCTGTTTATAAATTTTTAAAAGTCCATGTACCAAAATGTAAGGAAAAAATTTTAGGTACTAAAATGTATTTTTCCATCAATTTTTAAGGACTTATATGTAGGGCTGACTGGAAATTGCTCGGCTGGTCGTCATCGTCGCTTGACCCCAAGGCTGTGTTTGGGTCGTCAGTTTTCCAGACAGGTCGAGGAAGCAAAAATTGGTCGTCCGTTATTGCTTGAAGCTCGTCGTCGTCGTCGTCGCTTGATCCCGGGCCGTGTTTGGTTGTCGTCGTCAGCCTTATCAATGTTTTCGAAGGAAATTATTAATAATTGGTTATAGTATGATTAACCATATCAGAAAATGATAATTTTCGAAGCAAGTTACAAATGTTTTTTTGCTTGCATATTCAACGCAACACATATACGTTATTAGTGATTTCTATTATGATTGTGAACTTTATCTCGTATTTTTTTTTTTTTGCATTACAGGAGGCACAAAGCCAAAGAAGGAGGAACGAGGGGGGATATAAATCAGATGGGTGAGATGGGAGAAGTGATCACTATGTTTCTAGGAAAAGTGATTCCTCGCTGATCATCCTATAAGATGGGAAGGACCTCTTGCGACAGATCCTCCAATTCATACATACCGTAGGGATAGACGAGACTGTGCTTCGAGAGCCAGTCCGCGACTCTATTCTCCTCTCGGTAGGTATGAACTAGGTTCACCACCCAATCAAGAGAAATCTTCCTCCTGATGGCCGAAAGGAGAGCAACATAAGGGTGTAGAGGGCTTGTCCTGTTCTTCACAAGTTGAATTGCCAACTGCGAATCTGACTCGATGATGATTGTCCTGTAGTCTATGTTCCAAACGAGCCTCAAACCATGATAAATAGCCCACAGTTCGGCCAGAGTAGCCAACAAGACCCCAAGCTTGAAACAAATTCGCCTAGCCAGCAGTTATTGGAGTCACGAATTACTCCTCCAGCCCCGGCCAGGCCCTGGGACCCTCCTGCTGCCCCATCAATATTGATTTTCATCCAACCTGTAGGTGGCGGCTACCATCCGATGTCTGTCATCACCCGGTTCGGCGCCGGGTTTCCCCTAACACCAAGCGGCGTCGGAGTATTCCAAGCCCGAATCCAAATATCTGCTTTAATCTTGATTGACTGCATAAGAGAAGGTGCCGACAGGGTCTTGTTAATACCTTTGAAGACTCCTTCATTCATGTTCTTCCACAAGCACCAAAGGGCAATCCCGAAGAAGGCGTCCCAGGGGAGTCCAGTAGCTATTGTCTCCTTGCTGGTCAGGTTGCGGTGTAACCATTCTTCCCATGGGAGGCTAAAGAACTCGTGCTGGGCCTCCGTGGGAACTATTCGATGCCAGAAGAAGGCTGCATGCGGACAGCTGCGAAAAATATGAGATACGCTCTCAGTCTGGGAAGAGCATCTGTAGCAAGAGTCTTTTTGGGTTAGCCGTCTATGGGCTCTGAGCTCGTTCGAGCTCACCTTTCCCTGCGCAAGCAACCAGATAAAGCATCTAACCCGCTTGGGTACTGTGAGATGCCAAATGGCTTTCCACCAATTCTGCTGTGTGCTGACGGGAGCTTCCTGAAGGATCTGGTAAGCACTCTTCATAGTAAAACGACCATCCGCAGTTGGGGTCCAGAATAAGTGGTCCTCCTCCGTAGCCAAGGGATCAACAACGTGGGCTGTTATCCTGTGTTGTATCTCCTGCGAGAGTAACGAGCCAAACTTCTCAACTTTCCAATTTCCTTCCTCATCCACAAACTCTGACATCGGCAACTGAAAGTCTTCCTCCGAAATCATCTCTGTCGCCAGCTCGTGGAAAGGTCCCTGCAAAATCCAACTATCCGACCAATAATTAAAATTGTCAACGTTTTTTGCTCAATTATTAACAATATGCATAAACATATCACTATTTCCAAAACCGTTCTTTTTGTTCACGAAAGACAAATTGTTTATGTTAAGATTTTTGAGCAATTGTTAGCAATGTAACAAAACATTATTTACCTTTGTGGATGTATTATTAATTTTTTTCAATGTATTAGTATCGAAATACAAAAACCTTATCACTGTGATGTGATCCAGTTGCAGAAGGAATACCCAGCCGGCAAGGACAAATACCCGACTAACTATTTTGGAGAAGAGACCAGTAATTCAAGACATAAGCACCCCGGACCGGTGCATGTAAATACCCGATCGGGTATTCTGACCGAGTTTTTGGTCCTGCCGATTTTTGTTACCTTTTTCGTTTAGAATTCTTTTCCTTTTTGTTTTTTTCATTAGGTTATTTTTATACCTATTTAAAGGGTTGTACGCACCGGATTTTAAGAGACTATGAAGATTATTCAGATTGATGTTGAATAGAGAAAAAAATCCTTTTCGGTTCATTGATTTTTACTCTTGAATTTTTTCCTTGTTTGTTGGTGGATCTCCAGCACTCGAGCGAGCTTTGTATCAATCACGTATTCCCCTTGATTGTGGTCGAGTTGCTACCCTTATATTGTTTGAGCCTCTTCCCGTTTTGTATTGAAGTTGCACGGCAATTCCGCTCTATCCTTTATTTTTCGAGTTGTTGAGAGAAAATTCAGAAAACCCTAAACAGATCGAAGATGCGACTTTGACAAAAGAACCTAACCTTTCACGAGCTCGGGGATCTTACCACACCGCTTCCTAAATAATTAGCTAAACTGCCACCCAAATCACTCTCCATTCATATTAACCACTAACTTTACAATTCGTTTCACCTTTAGTTAAGCTCCGTCAAACTCTGTTAACGATGTCAGATTTTTGGTGACGTGGCAAACAGAACTGCTGACTACACCACTAACTTAATGACATGTCACTTTCAAAAAAATACAACTAAAAATTATTTACTTTTATCAACGGTCAAAATGCGTTAAAGTTCTTCTCCGCCGTGGCGGAGTGGACCATCAACTCCGTCCTCGAAACTTCCCCTACTCCCTAACCCTGCCCGCCGACATCTCCATTCTTACCACCCCCGCCACCATTTTTGTTCTTACCACCGCCACCTCCGTTGTTCTGGCCTTCCTTATCGTCGTCGTCGTGGTCACCAAAGCCTGCTGGTTAGGTTATCACCATACCCCATTTCAAACCAGTTAATTACCATAGATTTCAATTTCAATTGGAGTTAAAACTAAGCTGTGGAGTGAATCGATACATTCAATTCCTGAATTGATTCATCGATTCGAATAAAGGGCATCGACGGGATAGGGCTATGGAGGGGGGTATCATCATGAGTTAACCACGGAGCTAGGAAGCGGAGAGATTTGTCAGGGCGAGTAGCTAGTGTATCTACTCGACTCTTTAATAGTAGTGGTCTATGATCTGATCTGAGGCGAGGGAGATGAGTGTTGAAGGTATCAGGATATTGGTTCAACCATTCCTCATTACAGAGACCTCGATCCAATCTTTTGGAGAGCCTTCCATTAGTCCTGGTAAAGCACGACCCTTCATAACTGATGTTAAACCGATTTCATATCGGTTGGTTCAACCGGTTACAACCGTACCAGTCAGCAATTCGATTGGAAAGAGGTCGGTATTTAACTGGGGTCAAATCCGGGAATTCCGGTCGGTTAGACTAGAAACCAAAATTCAATGTTACACACATTATATCCAAAAATAAACATCCTCCATAGGATTTGAACCAAATATCTCATGTTCACTTTAGTTTCACTTATACACCAATAGGCTACATGTAACTTTGTTGTCTATATTAACCTTATATATTATATATCTAATACTAAATTTTACACAAATCATTATAAACATTAATAAAATTCAATTTTTTATAATTTTATTTTTAAGCATCTAATTGCTTAGTATTAGTTACCAATTCTTAACTATAAATTATTTTGTGTGAAATAATTATTCTAATTGCTTTTTCATGACTAATTTATTTGGAATTGAGGATTTTCATTTTTCTCATGTATTTTATTAAAACCGGCACAACCAACATAAATACAGGTTATACCATTGTCGGATCATTCAATTTGCAAAACCGGCACACCGACATAAACCGGTTTGACAACCTTGTTGTGATAGCCTGATAGGACTTACAGAGTAGTAGTAGCAGAGATGACGTAGATGTCCGTCACCAAGACTTCAACACCTGGGTTAGAAGTTGGAACTTCCCTCTCGCACTTGGGCTTTGGCATTCATTGGCAGCCAAAGCTGATGGCTGAAACGAACCCCTCTTCTCAAGCCAAGGCGCTATTGGTGGACCCCGTTGATCATCTTCCGCTCCGTCTTCTCCGATCTGACATCATCCCACCCGCCCCTAACCGATCCGTCTCCACCATCGACTGGTTGCCGGACTTCGCAGGCCACCCATGGCTCGCATATGGAGCTTCCTCTCTCCTGGTAATCTCTCACTTCCCTTCCCCTCTTTCTCCTCAGGAAACTCGCATCGGACCTGTTCTCCGTCAAGTCTTCGAGCTCTCGGGCCGCCATTCATCTCCGGTCGCTGCTGTTTCTTGGTCTCCCGTCACCCCTTCTGTAGGGGAAGTCGCTGCGGCAGTGGATAACTTTGTGATTTTGTTCTCCAACGATTCGGCTAGTGAAGGTAAATTGATTTCACAAGAAACTGGGGAAGCACTTTTCGACTATGCTTGCTTTTCATTCTTCTCAATTAGGTTGCAAGTCGTATATTTGAATTAACTAACGTAAGTGACGATGTAGAGAATTGTTTTGTAATTTGGTTGTGCAAATAGTCTTAAAATGCAACCTCTTTTTTTACTCATATTCAGGTTCTTTTTGTTGGAGCCAGAGTGCAGTGCTGGTACAATCCACAAATGTGGAGGCAATCGCATGGACGGGGTCTGCTGATGGGATTATTGTGGGCGGAATTTGCGTTACTTTATGGAGAAGGAAGAATAAGTCGTGGGAAATAGCTTGGAAGTTTGAGAGGGATCTGCCTCAAAATATGGTTTCAGCTACTTGGTCTATTGGTGGTCTTTTCGCTTCTGCAGCATGTCCGAACGAACTCTGTTTTGATGGACACAACAGCAGAAGCACGTCTGTAACTGTATGCTACCCAACTGGTACATCCGAGTATGCAAAAACTGAGTTGCACCATCCCCAACATGTTTTACTGATTCAGTGGAGACCATTAGCTGATGGGCAGTTAGATAGTGATGCAATGTACTTGCGGAGGCACATTCTTCTTACTTGCTGCCAGGATGGGACGGTGAGGCTGTGGACTGAGGTGGATAACAGAAACGTTAGGAAGTTCACCAAAGACAATTGTGGTCAGCATTCTCAGTGTAGAAATTTCAGCGTTGCTGCTGTAATTGAGATTAACCAAACCCTGAACGGAAGCCTTGGTGCCGACGTCTTTTTACTCTGGGCAACACAGATTAATGGTATCTGCAGAACTCCAGAAGGTGCTAATGAGTTCTATTTTGATGGAGACAGTAATGATAAAGTTGGTGCATGTGAGTGGTTAATTGGGTACGGGCCGGGAACATTAGTTACTTTTTGGGCTGTTCATTGTCTTGATGATATCTCACCCTTAAGGTTTCCTCGTGTTACACTCTGGAAGAGGCATGAGTTGCACGATCTTGAAGCCGGACATCTTGCTAGGGATGATTTTGCAAATTCCAAGGACGGGCTACTTCTTCGTAATGTAGTTTTCTTGCGACACCACTTGTATGCTCCTCCAAATGTATGCTCTTTGATTCATTTTTCACCCTGTGGTTCCTTTTTCTGGTCCATGCTATATGATCAACCAGAAAATGCGACAGAAAATGGATCTTCTGACAATTTCAGAGTACATAACCATATACCAAGTTCATCCAGTAGCTTTTCACCCATAGGTCATGAGGGGAAAATCTTACAGTTGGCTATTCATCCTCATATCTATGAAGTTGGACTTGCTGCATCCTTAGATTCAAATGGCTTGCTAATATTTTGGTCAGTTTCTGCTGTGCTGAACGAAGATTTTGGTCTTTCAACACTAAATCCCACATGGAAGTTTTGTGGAAAGCTTACCACCCATGCTCTACGAGCCAAATACACGAGCCTAAGATGGGCACCTTGTTTTTCTGGTGAAGAGTGTTTACTTCTTTTGGGCCATGCGGATGGGATCGACTGCTTTTTAGTTAAGTTGTCTCAAACTGGAGATCAAGAGATAAAGTGTCACTGCATTTGCAGTATACCCTTCAGTGGTCGACGTGCTCTTAAGGATGATCCCGTCGAGGTGTTCTCAATACCTCTTCCCTCTACATGTGAGAAGTCATTCAAGTATAAGAAATTCTTGCTTTTGGGAATATGGATGAAGGATTTTCAAGCTATTTCATGGGAAGTAACTTTACATTCTTATGATGGTGCAGAAGAAAGTTGTGAATGTAAGTTCGATGATAGAAATTCTGAAATGTGTGGATGGAACTTCCAAAGCACATTTTGTGAAAGACAATATCGTCTTGGTGTAAATCCTTGCTCTTCACTGTTACCAGAGCAACACTTACATAACCAGATAACAAGTTGTTCCATAGCATGCCCTGATTATTTGATTCCCATTTTTGAAAGTCGGGGATTGAATAATAATTCATGCCCTGAACCACCTTATGTCATGGCTACCGGCTGCCTCGATGGAAGTGTGAAACTGTGGAAAAGTGTATCTTGTGAACAGTCATCGACCTTTGGCATACCATGGAAGCTTGTGGGTGATTTCGTTGCCCATGAAAGCCCTGTTAGCACTATATCTTTGGCCGCTAATGGTAGCAAGATTGCAACATCCTGTGGAGGGAATCAAACAGATAATACCAGCATTATTCATGTATGGGACGTTATATGGCTTCCTGGAACTGGCATGTTCCTGTTAGAAGATAAGATAAGGATTGTTGAAGATGTCATTGCTCTAAATTGGCTAGCTTTAGGCAATGGCCAGTATATTCTTGGGGCTTGCGTGCAGAATGAGTTGCTGGTATATGCACAAAAGCGATCAGTTAGCCATGCTTTGTTGGATCATAGGAAATCCTTGGACCAGAACAGCTGGTCATGCATTGCAGTTGCACATACATTCGCTGCTATTTGTGATTTTATTTGGGGGCCTAAGGTGTCAGCAGTTGTGGTTCATGATAATTATTTTGATGTAATTAGTCACTGGTCAGTTCTTGTGGATAGTGAACCACAGGCAGACTCCTGTCAAAGTTTAAGTAGGGAGAAGTATCAAGTCCAAAAAGATAAAGACAGTCCCTGCTCTATATTTGTTGATGATGACATTAGTAATGTTGGAGAACTATCAAGCGAAAAGGTTAGCAGGAAAGATCTGGCAGACAATATGAATTTGACCAAAGGTCTGCCTGAGCGTGGTTCAAGTAGCATTTCTGGGTCTTGGCGCCTTGTAGACATAGCGGAGAAGTTGAGGGGATATTTACCATCTCATCACCCAGAGGTACTCCTAACCAATATCTATTCAGGTACTGAAGGGCTTAAAGTTGCTTGAAAATTGGTACTTTGAGAGTCTCGACTCTTTTGCTTCTCTCTCTCTCTCTCTCTCTCTCTCTCTCTCTCTCTCTCTCTCTCTCTCTCAATCAAGTTAAAGTTTCTAGTGGTAAGAACTGAATGTATACTACTGTAATGTGTTCAGGAAACTGGAAGCGCGCTTATGCATCGGTGCAGCATCTTGTTGAGCACATTGGTTATACTTCTGAAACAAAATGTGGCACTGCTAATCTTGGTCACTTTGTTCCACTAATCCCTTTGTCAGTTTATTTCGAGGGACATTTGGCAAAAAGTTCGACTGATACGGGATGCCAATGGACCTCGGACTCAGCCCTACCTGCTTCATCTTCGCAGGCCTTTATCTTCAATTCAGATTATGTTACTCAAAATAATATGATTAGTTCATCATCCTCAAAATCTGAATTTACTAGTTTGGTTGAGACTCTGGAGCAGTCGTACGAGTTAGCAGCTCTGACTAATCTAGAGAAATCGCAAATCATTGCTATCATGGACCTTCTTGGTGAAGTTAGGCAGTCTAATTCTGCTTATCACAATCTGGACGGGCCTGGACGCAGGTGAATTTCATCAAGTTCTCTCTCTCATTTTATTCATTTATTTTGAAATTTGTGCCTGAATGTTTTCTTCTTTGCTCTTAAGATACTGATAGTTTTTATCCTGCAAGAGGGATAATAACAAATATCTACAAAGTTATTCTTTGTACGGGTGGCTATATCATAGTCCATTTTCAAGGATATGGGTAGATTAGCCATCGACATATGCATGTGATGGTCAGTTGTTTAAAACTTCTGCACATTTTTCTCTTTACTGATCCAGGCTCTTCTACCTTTCTAGATTTTGGGTTGCTTTAAGGTATCAGCAACTGCAATTTTTCCGATGCTTTGGTAGATTACCATCTCTGGAGGACTTGGGTACTGATGGTAGGATGATAAGCTGGGCCTTCCATTCTGATTGTCACGAAACGTTACTGACTTCTTTTCTCCCTAGCGATCCAACATGGAAAGAGATGCAGGCTCTTGGTTTTGGATTCTGGTTTAGTAATGATAGACAACTGAGGACAAGGGTAATACTTCATGATGAAATTTCTTATATAGCTCCTTGGTTGAAACTTTTTGTTATTTGGCATTTGAAAGTGTTCTTTATCTAAATGGTTGTAATTTATTTCTAATCTATATGTTCAATGGGTTGTCCTTCTCCCCATCTCCCTTATTTATGTTGATTATTGCTGTAGATGGAGAAGTTGGCCAGATCACAGTACCTGAGAAAGAAAGATCCCAAAGATTGTGCTCTTCTATACATAGCATTGAACAGACTTCAAGTCTTGGCTGGTCTCTTTAAAATTAGCAAGGATGAAAAGGATAAACCGTTAGTGACGTTTCTATCACGCAATTTTAAGGTCTGTACAATTCTATCTCTACATTGTTGGAACACTTAGGAATTAGCAGCATTGAATACTAAGTGCGGTCCCCTTGTAAAGGCTTCTTGTCTCATTTTGGTTTCGGGTTCCATTGCAAATAACCATTGGCTAAGTGATGCTGACCAGTCATATAGACAAGAATGTATTGACATTGCTAGTTCATGTATTTCTGTGAGTTGCAAGTCTAGTTTCGTTGATGTTTCCATGTTAAGTTGATTAAACAAAAAATGGGTTGGTCTAGTGGTAATACCATTAAGTAATATCTAAACAACAAAAATTAAACCTATATCACCCTTATATATATTAAAAAAAGAAGTTCATTAAGTCTTATGGGAATATTATATTGTCAAATGTTTTCCAACCAGTAGCCACTGAGGTTTTGGTATACTTTTTCCCCCCACTTGTTTCGTTGTCTTAGGAAGAGAAAAATAAAGCAGCTGCTTTGAAAAATGCTTATGTGCTCATGGGAAGGCATCAACTAGAGTTGGCTATTGCCTTCTTTCTTCTTGGAGGGGATACTAATTCGGCAATCACAGTGTGTGCTAAGAACCTTGCGGATGAACAGCTGGCTCTGATAATTTGTCGGCTTGTTGAGGGAAGTGGTGGCCCATTAGAATGTTACCTAATAACAAAATTCATACTGCCCTCGGCTGTTGAGAACTGCAACTCCTGGATTTCAAGCTTACTTGAGGTTGGACCGAATCTTTAACTTTGACTGCTTCTCCCTGTTTCAGATACGATATTCTACTGGCATTGAGTGCCATATTTGCAATATCTTAATGCATCTTTTACTGTCCTGATTGCAGTGGAAGCTGGGCAATTATTTGCAATCTTTCCTAAGAATGGTTGATTTAACAATGGGTTTCACAGTTGATAATCGTTCATTTTGGTCCAATCATGTTGCTTTCAAGGACCCTAGTGTCGGCTTATATTGCTCCTTCCTGGTAACCAGAAATAGCATGAAGAATGCCATAGGGGAGCAAAATGCTACAATTCTCAGTAGGTGGGCAACTTTTCTGGAAGCCACTGCCTTCAGCAGATGTGGCCTCCCTGTAAGTCGACTGCTTCTATTTGTTGTTTAAGTTATCGGTAACATCTATCTTTGTCTTACCACCTTATCCCACGAAAGTCTCTGCTTTTACCTTCCTATCCAATTGCATCAACTTGTATTTTACGATTGCCTCCATGTGAAGGGTCAAATGCTCTGCTTTCTGAGCTTCCAGATCTGCTGATTTTGAGATCTAGATTATGATATCCTCAGTTTTGCACACATGAAATGTTGGCATTTCTGCATATACTGGGCAGTTAGTGTATTACAGTTGATCTCAGATAAGAATATTGGACCATCTTTTTCATGAATCACAAGTTAGCATCTAGTAGCCTTGGCCCAAAGGGGTGGGTGTCTTTTTCTTTAATGGTAAGATTAAGTCGTTTTCTTGGTTCAATTTGAGTTAGAATGCATGTACTACCTTATTCTGGACCCACCTATAATTACTCAAATGAATGATTATCAATCTCTACCAAAAGGTGAGATTATTAACAAGGGATTGTCTACCTCATTTTTTGCTCCATCATTGTCCTTTATAACTTTGCCTTATAACAAGGAGAGTAGTATAAATGAAGGGTAAATATGTCACTGAACCTCAAAAGTCAAAAGTGTATTAGTTGTTTATGTACAACAAAAACACAATCTAGACCTCTAAACAAGGTATTTTCCTAATACATACATTGAAGCAATACATCAAATGATAATACACAAATTGATTAAATGCATCTATTTGGAGAATCCCAACCTCCAAACATGCCCAATCTGCATGACTGTCTTAAAACATTTATAGCTGCTTACATTAGTCTTATATTCTGTAACTTTTGGTTATCTTTGATCTGCGCATCATTTCTTGATTTTGCTTTAATTTACAAAAGTTTCAGACTTTTGGCATGCATGCTTCAGAAAAGCTCCCTTTATAGTTCCAACAGTAAAGTAAAATTGACGTCACTCAATGTTAGCTTGAAGCTTTGGAGTGCCTTTCATCTTCTTTGAAATTTTGGGGCATGGATCAAGGAAGCTTGTCAAACGGTGGTCACTCTCAAAATCTAGAAGAACTTCCAGCACCATTCGCCCATGATCCATGTAACTGGCTGTCAAGTGATGTGGCTTTATACATGGCATCTATTAGTAAATTGGATTTGTCTCTTCAGTACCTGTCAAAATTGACTAGGGAGCATCCCAGTTGGCCTCAGACTGCTCCAGATTCTGTTGGACGTCCTCAGCATGACAAGTCAGCGGAAGTTTTCCAGCAAAAGTTATATGATGGACTTTCCAAGTTTGAACAGAAGTTCTCTGTTAGTTCTTCTTCTGCAGCTCAAATGGTATTTATTTGGTGGGCTAATAAAGTTGTACATTCATGATTGTCATTTTCCTGGTGCTCTTCTAAGTTGTCTTGAATGGTACTGACTTCCTTTCTGTTGACTCTGTTATACAGGTTGTTGTCTGGTTGTGTAATAATGGTTTATGGTTCGCTGGATGCGATCTTTTACTCAACTATGCTTCTCCAAATCATGTACAAAATAAGACATGTGCAATTGATGGTTCCAACTTGCAGCCCGTTGTGTATAATCTACTCTCCAAAGCTATGGAGGGTACTTCCCTTATGCTTTCACGGTATATCGTTTGCTGTAACTTCAGTTGCTTCCCACAAAGGTTTAGTAGTTGCACAAGAAAGGAGGGAGCTGTTGAAGTTACACCTGAACTTCCGTCTTTCCTGAGGTTGTACCTTCAAGGCATCACAGAGACATTGTACAGTTTAAGATCTGCCGTTGGACATCTTTCTGGCTGCTTACCTGTAGACTTCACAAGATCTCTTGTCATTCTTGATTTGTTCGAGTATTTTGTGCATTTTGCATCTGCCTGGTTCCAGCGTAGCTCAAAAGGTCTTCTATTGATGGCTCAACCTCTCTTGATTACCTGTACTGATGGTCATACTCCTTATGAACTAGACACAAGAAATCTCAAGAGCATTCTCCACCACATCTCAGAGTTGTTGGCTTCCAATTTATCCACCAATGATTCCGCATTAGGGCATGAGGATGCAAAGCGTGTTCCATACAATCAAGTTGGTGAGAAAGGGCAAACGTTATCAGAAGATGAAAAATGGATTCTTATTGGGGGTTGTTTATGGCTGCACATGTCCAGATTATTGAAGCATAAGTCGCAAGTATTGTCCATTAATCTTGATGATGATTGTTCTGCTTTTACTTGTGGCCAAATTTCTTCCTTGTTATCTGGTGTTTCACGATGTGGATCTGATCGAAGCAGCATCAGTGAACAAACCAGAGAATTCTCGCCAGCATTGGCCAAGTTACTCAATGCCACACTCGTATATATCTCATCTTTACATGTGAAACTACTTGGAGCATTCCTGCAACAGGAGGCTAAGAAGACACTGCAGGTGCCGCTTATCATATGGTTACAAGAATCATATGGATCTGAAGCTAAAATCCACTATCAGGATGTTAGTGCAGATGTACTGAACAGTAAAAATGAAGCATACATGCTGGAAATATTGTGGAATTCCTGTGCTGATCCTAGAATGATACATGAAGGTTTTGCCCAAGAAAATTTGAATTTTAAGCAATTTTCCCATCTTATAACATCTAAAAGTTGGACTGGTTTGCATAAGGGTATCTCAGAGGACCATGAAGTGATAGGGGTACCGGATCATGATACCAACCTTAGCAGTATTGCAGTTAATGATGAAGTTGAATTCTCTGCTAAAGGACTTTTTATGAATTTCCGTACCCTGTTGAGTTCCTGGCAGAAGGACGCTGCCATTACCAAGAAGGTTTCAATTTTCCAAAATCCTCGAGAAGTACATAGGGGAGAGGGAGAGCTTTTGGAGGTAGTATTCATCTTGCATTCACCACACATGCTAAATGTTTTAACTGAAGACTTCGGTATCACGAGTGACCAAGGGCTTGAACTAGTGGTAATACCACAAGTCTTGAACCTGGAGGTCCTGTTTACAAAAAAGTTTCATGTTTAGTCACTAAAAATATTTAATTCCATTTATTGTCACTAACTTTAGTTAAATGTTAGAATTTGTAATTATAGTAATTTTTCTATTATATGAAAATGAGTTGGAATTTTTAAATGATTAAATTTTATTTATTATTTTTTAATTGCCACGTAACTCTGTTAACGGTCAACTTTGAGAGTTGACTGCCACTTCAGACAAATTTAACGGAGTTGGATGGAGAGTGACCAAATTTGTAACATTTAATTAATTTTAGTGACCATGAATAAAATTAAATATTTTTAGTGACTAAATATGAACCTTTTTTATAAACTCAGTGACCAACCTTGCAATTAATTCCTCCAGTAGCACGTAACTATAAAAGTATCATAAGTCACCCTTATTTAAAAAACTACTTAAGTATAAGGTTAGGTTTTTTTCTGGGGAGTTTTCTCCCGATTTCTTTTGTGGATGATAATTGCTCCTTTTTTGTTGTTTGAGAAGGCACTCTGTACAAATGCCATTAATGAAGGGGAAGCTGCACTTGCCAGCAACCGAAAGGTTAGTCTACTGCCGATCATATTTTGTTCTGATGCATATTTGGCGATGTCCTATCACTTGCTTGGATGAGGTGAGGTCTAGGGCTGTTCTAGCATGGTAGGCCACACTGGTCTGGGGCTGTTCTCTACCCTTTTGTCCTTATTGGTGACATTCGTAATTATTAAACAAAAATTTACATTCATATTTTCAATTTTCATCGAATAACAGTATTCGAGCTTTCTTAACTTAAACAATGACAAAAGAAGACCCAAATCAATTTAGTTAAAGAAAACATTAATGAGCACTAGTGCTTGTGTGGCTATCAAAGACCAAATGGTCTTTGTGATTTCTGATGCGTGTATCTGTCATCCAAGTTTTGCCTAAGCATCCCTTGCTTTAAGAACAAGGCATCTCTGTTGCATATGCTGGCCCTTGGAAAACAAGAATCTTCTTTTGTTCTTATCTGTTGTGTCCTATTTAACTGGTTTAAAAGAAAGACTGAAATTCCGGCTTGTCCATTTGGTCAATAGGGTTCCTTTTGTGATTTCCACACTGAAATAGGCGTTCAACAGTCTTAACTCCCTAACCGGCCATGAAGTTTCTTGATTTATTTTTTTAGAAGTTGCTTGCTTTGATTTGCATCTTAAAATTCTGTATACAGGGGATACTTTTCTTTAACTGGGCTGAGCAGAAACGCTCCAGAGACCATCCACATTACATATTGTCAGAGGTTGATTGGCCACCAAATGGGTGGGCAGGTGCAGAATCAACCCCAGTTCCAACATTTGTTTCCCCTGGTGTTGGCCTTGGGAGAAAAAAAGGAGCTCATGTTGGATTGGGTGGGGCCACTGTTGGCCTTGCTTCTCTGACAAGACCTAGAGATTTGACAGTTGGTGCAGCTATAATTGGTGCTCCTGGTTATCCTGGTTTAGCTGCCTCTGGATTGGGTTGGGAAGTTCAGGAGGATTTTGAGCTGTTAGCAGACCCTCCAGCCACTGTGAAAAATATCAGCACTAGGGCTTTCTCCAGTCATCCCTCTAGGCCTTTATTCTTGGTTGGTTCCAGCAATACGCACATTTACCTTTGGGAGGTACGTAATTATGCTTTACTAGCCTCCGTATCTTTTCCCCTGGAAATTATTTGGAATAGAGGATTAATGCTGTCAAATGTAATAAATTACAATACCCAGTTTGGCAAGGAAAAAGCTGCTGCCACGTATGGGGTACTCCCTGCTGCAAATGTTCCTCCTCCATATGCTCTTGCGTCAATTTCCTCTTTGCGGTTTGACTACTGCGGGCATAGATTTGCCTCTGCTGCACTGGATGGAACTGTTTGTACTTGGCAGCTCGAGGTTGGAGGAAGGAGCAACATCTGTCCAACTGAATCGTCTCTCTGCTTTAATTCCCATGCATTGTACGTATTTTTCTCTACTGTTTGGTGCTTTTTGAGGCTTTCTTTATCCTCTAGAGGTCAGGTGATTTGTTTTGGAGCATGCGTTGGGGAAGGTGGACCATTTTTCCATATATGATTTGAGGAGGAAAGAAACAATACTTGATTTTGCATGAATAGATTGAGGAGCACACTTTTTAAATGAAAAGTAAATGAAGAATATCATGATTTCACGAATAATAAAGTACCAAATGAGAGCTGTTGTGAAGTTAGAATTTTGGTTAAAATCTCAAATTAGAGAACTAAGAGCAAATATCAGATATCATTTGACTATAGTCTATAGAAATTAAATAGGATCAGGGTACAAGTAAGGCGCCCGTTACATCTTATGCTGCTCGCAGGTCAGCCAAACGGGTCAGATCGAAATTGTCATTGTTTTAGAGGCTCCCTCTCGGTCTATGGCTATTCAGTTTATAAATTAAAGAAGACATCTTTTTTTCAGGGACGTCGCGTATGTTGGTTCAAGTGGATCAGTGGTTGCTGCGGCTGGGTACAGCTCTAATGGCGTCAATGTCGTTATCTGGGACACCTTAGCTCCACCGACAACTTCTCAAGCATCCATCATCTGCCATGAAGGTCTGCATGCTAATCATGAAAGCTTCCCCATTAATCACCCTTAGTTTCTTCCTTCAATTGTTTTTATGGCACCTGACCAGTCTGCCATCTCTGCATCCTTGCCATCATCTTAAACCAGGCGGTGCTCGGTCAATCTCAGTGTTTGACAATGACTTCAGTAGCGGCTCCATTTCTCCCCTTATTATAACGGGTGGAAAAAGTGGTGATATTGGGTTGCATGACTTTCGCTACATAGCCACTGGAAGGAGCAAAAGACACTGGCAATTCGACAGCAGCAGCAGCTCTAGTACATTATCATCAGGGGAGCAGAATCAGAAGGGGATGCTGTGGTACATCCCAAAGGCTCACATGGGAAGCATCACCAAAATATCAATTGTTCCACATACAAGCTTGTTCTTGACGGGGAGCAAGGATGGTGACGTGAAGCTATGGGATGCCAAGGCAGCCAAGTTGGTTCATCACTGGCCGAAATTGCACGAAAGACACACTTTTGTTCAGCCGAGCTCCCGAGGTTTCAGCGGCGTTGTTAGGGTAATTAAGTCTTCTCTTCTACTGTTTCCCTGTTATAACCTTTCTTCAGAAAGTTGGTTAGAGTATTGATGGATTTGATGGTGATATTAGCACGTCTGTCTGTATGCATGCAGGCGGGTGTTACGGACATACAAGTGCTTCCCCGTGGTTTTCTATCTTGCGGAGGAGATGGATCGGTGAAACTGGTTGAGTTGACAGATCCCATTCTCACCCAGCACCAGTGGGAGGCTCCATGAAAGACATCACTTGACGACCGGGCTAAAGGAAGAGTTTCCATTTGTGAGTAAAGGGTATTGTTTGTTTCCAAATTCCAACTCTTTTTCCTTTGCTTACAAGGACTTTGGACCTGGCAAATGGGCGGGGAGGTCAAGAGGAGTCATGGTTCTCATAGGTCACTAGATTTGTTAAAGTGGACCGAATTAAAACAGTTACTAGAATCAACACAGGGAGGATTTAGCCAATGGCATCTGTAGCGTGCTTAGTATCTTTTAGAAGCAGTATAGTGGGAAGTGGGAACTGGGAACGAGAAACAGATGGAGTTGTATACATAAAGGTCTCATTTGTTTTACTAGAAACTTAAAATTCCAGCTAGGCAAGGTGAACTCAGCCTGCAGTCATAATGATTGCTTGCAAAACACAAGTCTGGACATATTGAACTTGGTCGAAATAGTTATCCTAGAACTTGTGTAAATCCAATATGTTTAGTCTGTTTTTCATTAGATTTCTAAGTTCCATATTGAAACTATCTTGCCGAAAACCTCTTTATGGATAAACTTTTTCTGAGATATAACGAACAGGGTGCACTACAAATGTGGTGTGTATGGAAGACTAGAAACATAGATGTTTGTGCCTAGAATGTACTAGGCGGTTATGGGGCTCCGATCTGGACTCCCTCGTCTGATCTCCTCGGGAGTGGAAGAACCTGTGAGGCGGGGGGCGGCCCCCGGGATCTACTCCGACGCCCAAGTTAGTACGATATAGGAGAGTGTATGGTATGTAGAGAGATAAAGTAGAGAGAGAGACCTTAGGGGAAAGTGAGGAAGGGAAAAGAGAAGATCCTTAGTTTGGAGGGTTATGCCTCCTTATATAGGGTTTGGGCTTCCTTGAGTGGGCTTGGGCCCAGGACGCCTTGCGGTGGGCTTGGGCCCGTTTATAGTCGTGTAGGCAACAACAATTGCCTATTTACTTCTTGTATTCTGTAAGAATGGAAGGAGTAACATAATGCGTTAATCGTGTATTAATTTGCCTTACTTACGAATCCGGATGATGCGGTTTGCCCCTTGTGCGAGTTGCGTAATCATTTCCTTTGCCCCTTGCTTGACTTTCGATGTCTTGAACCAAAGCTCTCAAGTCGTTAAGAGTTCCTTCGCTAGTCTATTGTTGTTAGCGCTAGTGGACCATAATTGCGACCTATGTAGGGTGGCCCTCACGGCTTGAGAGTTTTAACTCAAGACGCTCGTCTCTAGTCTCCCCAATGTCGCGTCCATGTTGTCAGGAAGTCATGTGTCTTGTTAATGTCTTAGTTGTGTGAGGCAAGATCACATATTCTCTTCTATGAAGCTTAGTACTTCGTCTTTTGAGAAGCGCATTAGTCTTTCAGCTTTCTGGAAAGCTTAGTGCTTCTTCGGCTTCCTGGGGTGCGCTTCTCCTTTGGCTTCCTGGGAAGTGCCTCGCGCCTTCGGCTTCCTCGGAAGCGCGTCGCTCCTTTACTTCCTGAGAAGTGCATAGCACCCTCGACTTCCTGAGAAGCGCATCGCTCCTCGGCTTCCTGGGAAGCGCCTCGCGCCCTCGGCATCCTAAGAAGCGCATCACTCTTCCGCTTCCTTAGAAGCGCATTGCTCCCTCGGCTTCCTGAGAAGCACATCACTTCTCGGCTTCTTGAGTAGTGCATCGCTCCTCCGCTTCTTTGGAAGTGCATCGCTCCTCGGCTTCCTAGGAAGCGCATTGCTCCTCGGCTTCCTGGGAAGCGCGTCGCTCCTCAGATTCCTGGGAAGCGCATTGTTCATTCGCTTCCTGGGAAGCGCATTGCCCCGTCGGCTTCCTGGGAAGCGCATTGCTCATTCGCTTCCTGTGAAGCGCCTCGCGCCTTCGGCTTCCTGGGAAGCGCATTGCTCCTTCGCTTCCTGGGAAGCGCGTTGCTCCCTTGGCTTTCTGGGAAGCGCATTGCTCCTCGGCTTCCTGGGAAGCGCGTCGCCGCTCGGCTTCCTGGGAAGCGCGTCGCCGCTCGGCTTCCTGGGAAGCGCCTCGCGCCTTCGGCTTCCTGGGAAGCGCATTGCTCCTCGGCTTCATGGGAAGCGCATCGCTCCTCGGCTTCATGGGAAGCGCGTCGCTCCTCGGCTTCATGGGAAGCGCATCGCTCCTTTGCTTCCTGTTTACATTTTTTGACAAACTTATTCTTACACGATCAATAAAATACTATATCTATCACACTTATCAATATATTTTTCTCTCCCACTTTCCCTTTCGTTTTCCCTCATAAAACAACATTTGCTCTCCAATTTCCTTTCCTTTACGTTTTTCTTCCCTACAAATTTTCCCTCTCCTTCCCCCTTTTCCTCTCCTCATTCGGGAACCGAGTGTAAAAAATTTGTGGAATGCTTTACAAGTTTTCTGATATTCGTGGTGTGATTTATGACTTTTGTAGTATGGCGTGGTTTTGATACATTTTCAGGTATATTTGTAGTGTGGTTTGTGTTTTGTGGGGACGGGTTAGCATGCTAACCCCTTAAGGGGTTGGTTTTTTGACACCCCCCTTTTAATTTGTCAATTTTTCATTAATTATTGACAAGTATTAATGAAAGTAAACATAATAAATGTTCTGTTATTAAATACAAAGTAAGCATTATATACACCACATTAATTACTTGTTTTTTAAAAAAATCTAAACATATACAAAATACAATTCTCTCTCTCTCATCTTTGATCTTTCTCACTCCTATCTCTGATTCTTCCTTTCCGAGCAGCCTCCGACCACCAAGTTTTCTCCGACCACCACACTTCGCCGGTAAAATTCGCCGACAAACTCTCTCCGGTCACATGCAAAAATATACCACTGCACTGATATGTTGTACCACTTTACTGGTATTTGTACCACTACACTGATACTCAGATATGACATTGCTACCAGTGCACTGATATCGCTACCAGTGCAGTGGTATATCTACCAGTACAGTGGTACAACGTATCAGTGCAGTGGTATATATTTTTGGAGGTGGTCGGAGGGAGTCTGCCGATGGGATTTTCACCGGAGAAGTGTGGCGATCGGAGGAAGTCTGGTTGTCGGAGACTGCTGGAAAAATCAAATATAGTGAGAGAAAATGTATTTAGTGTAGGTTTTAATTTGAAAAAAAAATAAATAATTAATATGGTGCATTTAATTCCTTATGTGTGTATTCAATTCTATAGTTGTATTTAATATACTAGGGGGTGTCATTTTTCCAACCCCTAAAGGGTTAGCATGCTAACCGAACCCTATTTTGTGTCTCCAATTAATACAACACACATGCATGTATTCTCTCAATTTTTAATAATGACAAACTGTTCTCCCAATTTTTAATAATGACAAAGGTCCCCCTACTGGCAAACGTGCTCCTCTTTAATTGTGGTCAATCAACTTAAAATAGAAAGTGATCAAAACAAAATATTTCTATGGAGTGAAGTTAATGTTTATACCATGCTAATAAATTGGTGTCACCTGAGCATGGACTGTAGAGAAAGCTGTGAAAGGCCAAGAAGGGCAAAGAATGCAGCTGGTGAGGACAAATAATTTCATCGCGAGTTTGATCAACTTCACGAGTTGCCAATATAACAGTAACATGCGTAAACTTAAAGAAGTTGTCAATGTTTCAACTTTCAATTGGGAAGATATACAGTAGGTTCCATAACAACATTCTTAACTCATCAATACAAAGAAGCCGTTGCAAGGCTTCTTAAGGAACACAAACGGTTACACACTACTGGAGATAGAGGCTCACCACATTCATTTTTTTTTTTTTTTTTTGCCTGGTCTTGCCCCAGCAATCTTCCATTAGAAAAGAGAATTAAGCGGTGAGCCAAAACACTGTGCGCCAGTTAAGTAGCAGAGAGGTTAGGCATGCCTTCTGGATTGTGCTGTTCTTTCCATATCCGTCCAGTAACTCTCAGCTTTAGTTCTTTCCTGTCTCCCCCTGAGAAGAACAGTGCCATGTTTCTCTGAATGATCAGCCCATCAAAGCTGTCCCTAACCTTCCTGTGACTATCTCTTATGCTTCTTGGAGTGCCTTCCCAGATGAGCTTCCGGTCATACCCACCCACCTCTAGGCTGTAGCTGTAATTCCTGGCTTCTGTTTCATCCCCCATGAATCGCAAGAATGCCATGTAGACAGGTGCCATTTCTAGCTGGAAAGCTTCAACATGGAGGCAGAAGTACTGGCCAAAGCAATGAAATACCTGCAAACAGCAGCAGACAAGTCGACGAGGAAGAAGGTAAGTCTCTTACAACAAAGGAAAACGATAGGTATAATTTTTATTATTAACTAAAAGGTAAGGTCCACCGTGTTTATTTTTCTGTTTTACAGATGAATTCAGATTTCTTGATTTATTATGCGTATTTTTAGGGCTTCTTTAGTTAGCTTTTCCTTTTTTTCAATTATAAAAAACTAGCGACAAAGATGATAAAACCTGTATATTTATCATTACATTTCTCATGCGTTTTCAACTCTAAACCTCAAAAGTAGTAGTTTCCTGTTGTCTCCACTAGTCTGTGAGAGATTTGAATCTCATGACTCACTATTATTTCCTTTTTATGAGACTCTCTCACTCAATATTATTTCTAAGATAAAACTGCAAAAGAAAACTATATACAAAGGCTTGGCACAACACCTACAAAAAACCTTGCAGCGAATGGATGTGCCAAGAAAAGAAACATGAAGTAGAGAAAATAGTAAAGGGAAAAGAGAAAAGTGTTAACTTGGACAGATATCACATAGATTTTTTACTCTCATTTCAAACAATCTATAATCAATTCAACATTTTGGAGAAACTTGGACAAAAAACTTTCAATGAAGACGTTTCCAGTTTTCCCTTTCTCTTTCTATGCACAGAAGTCGTTTCCTTCATTAGAAGGAGAGTCTCTTGGGTAGGAGGCCTAACTTGACCACTCTTGGGCATGCAATTCTTTCTGTAAGTTTTAATGAAGCAAAGAACAGAGAATTTGTGATCTTTACTTGCTCTAATGAGTACTTATGATTTCTTATCCTATAAGAATCATTGTCATTAGTTTAAGGTCTAGACTAATGTCATCTTGTCAAAACTTTTAATATTGTTTGCATACTGAAATAGACTACTATCACCAGACAACTACCATCACCGGCTGTCAGAGTGGAGTGAGGCAGGAAACGGCAAACTTTTGGAGAAGCCAATTCAGACCTACATCGATTGATATGAAATAACCAGAGAAATTCCAACTAAATAAACTACAAGCCACGAGATCATGATGACTGATTACTGCGTCGGCTCAAGGAACCACTGACAAAGCTTCAGGTTAACATTCTAGATCGTGTGACAACTACCACTGAGTTGCACGATTCCTTAATTCAAGGAAAGCAAGAAATCAGAGCTTAGTTTCAAACAGGTGCAAAAGCATCAAGACATCCATTATATGGGAAATTTTACCGAGGTCAGGCGGATGTCTATGATTTATGGGTTTCATGATAACCAGGAAAACTCATGCTGCACCTTCTCTTTGTTTATTCTTGTTACGAATTGACCATAGCTTATGTATTCTGAATCATATCTAATAGATGACAAGAGAAACTTGTACTTACAGTTAACATCCAAGTTGCATTTTCAACTTCTCGGGGGTTGGATTTCACATAACGATGGTTGAAAGTAGACCCGGAGTGCATATCAACTTTGTGATCATTCCTCAGATGAGCAACAAGGAAAGGGATATCTCCAACAATCGAACACTCTGAACCAGCATATGGGCAGTTGTATGGCCTGAAGTTGCAGAGTGACTCGTGCTTCAGTTTGCTGTAGTAGGGAAAAATCTCGAGACATCCAAGGTAATTGTACTTGCATGGCAGTTCAAGGGATTCAGCTAATTTCTCCAATGCCAGACACCTGATATCGCCGAGCTCTTGTCTGCAGGTTGGACACCTGTTATGCACCATTGTTTTACAAATGGAACAGAGGGTATGCCCATTCTGGCACTGCAGAAACAAGGATTCGCCAAAATTATAATCAACTAAAAGCTTCTAGGCAGACACAAAAAGAAAGTTCAACATGCGTACATATATGTATTGCATAACAATGCTTTTCCATTTCCTTCTATCTTTGGTTGAAGTTGGAGAACATTTTACAATCTTTCCCTAACAGTTCTGGAATTCAAGCCCCTTCTCTACCACTTTAGGTTAACTTCTTGACATTTGGCATCTTTGCATTTCTCTAGTTTAGATTAACGAGTAGAGAGGAACCACCGGGAAACTGTCAGCAACACCAAAAGTCCGAGAAAGTAGTTCGATTGACGATAATATGGCATTAGTAACCTCAGCGATTCAGTAAATTGAATTCAAAGGTATCAAGCGCTAACTGACAGCGTTGAACTGTTTTGACTCTTACACACATTCTAGAAATCAACAGCAAAGAATCGCAAGAACGATTCTAGTGGGAAGCAAGTCATCTGACCAGCATTAGGCATGAACACACCAGTAGTGGCTAGAGCAAAACTCAGATCAACCAATGTACATAACAAATATGAACCCTAAAAGCCAGCACACGCAGGAGCCGAGAAGCCGGGGAAAATGTTGGGGGAAACTGAGAAACTAATCGAATCAAAGCAAAAGAAAAGGGGATCCGCGAAGAGAGTTGGAGATTGTAGGAGCAAACCTGATGAATTGGAGGGTACATGAAATTCGCACACACTGGGCATTCAAGCAACTCATGTACGCTACTGGTGTGAATCGCCGAGGTGAGAGTATTGCTGCTGTTACTACTACCGTTATTGGTCTTGCTGTGAGACTTTGAAACCGGAGGAAATTGAGGATGGCGGCGGTGGAGATCGATCTCATCTTCCTCCGTCAACGGCACACATTGGTTGTTGCTATCTACTTCCATGGAAAGTACCGGATTCCAAAAGATCACACAGGCTCAGCCAATCGGAAGAAAAGACACAAATTATATGGGCCTTTCCTTGGTAAACCAAGGCTTCCGATACCTAAAAACCGAAAATTGTGGAAGAGGAGGAAGAAGGAAAAGAAGCAGATGCCCGTATAAGGGGAATTGGAATCACTCCGGAGGAAGTGAAGAAGAAGAAGAATAAGAAGAAGACGATAAGGGATTAATAAGCGAAAAGAAAACCCAAAATTCACCGACGGGTTTGCAGCCGTGGGTTGATCGACTTTCAGACGATCGCTGGTTGCACTTTGCAGGGTGCTTGGGGTAGGCAGGTCAGACTCAGGACTCCGAAAAGAATAAAGATGAGAGTAGTTTGACGATCTCAGAGACGCTCGAGACTTTTGAAAATTGAGAAATTGTGCTAAATAGCAGAGTCTGGGAGTGCTTCGAGCTCATTTATTTCGTGCCGTGCTTGGTACGACTCGTCATTTTTCGTGTTGTGTCATGCAAGCTCATTTATTAACTTTGTTAGGCTCGGTCCAGACTCGGGCATGGTTCGAATCATTTATTAACTGATAGTGTTTGAGAAAAGTAACAAATAAGGGAGAAAAGAAAATTGAAAGTATAGTAAGTGTGATTTGATTTTGTTTAATTCTTTGTTTATTTTTACTTATGTTAGTAATTACGTATATATTTTTATGACACTTCTAACAACAATAAATAATTATTTTTCTACTTGTGTTTTTAGGGATGGCAACAAAATCCGAACCAACGGGTACCCGCCCGACCCAACCCAATCAACGCGGGTAAAACCCGTGTTGACGGGTTTTGGGCCGGGTTCAGGTTTAAACCCGCTACACTATTCAGCGGGTCGGGTTGAGTTTGGGTTTAGGTAAACCCGCCCTATGGGTACCCGCCCACACACATATAATTACTTTCCCGGTATATTTAATATTCTAAAGAATATATTTTCCTTAAATAACTAATCTACACATAATATAATACACCGAAGGGAAAAACGGGAGCCCCATTTCAAATTTCCTGCAACGAGAGTGAAAGTAGGAAGGACATTTTGGTCTTCACAATTACTTTTTTTTAGGCAAAATACACTTGTATAGCCAAAACTATCACGCTTGTGCCACTTATAGCCACATTTGGCGAAATACCACTAATAGCCACTTCCGTCCAATTCTTTAACGGTGTCAGTTAATAAGCTGACTGGACAAACGGAAAAGCTGAGTTGGCAAGTTTCTCTATTAACATATTTGTGTTAGATTAATTATAAAAAATAACAGTAAAAATTAAAATTAAAAAGAAACTGAAAATTCTCCACCCATCACTCCCTTTTCACTTTCCCCTTCTCTCTCTTCGCTTCTCTGTCGTCCGCCGACTCCCCAACCTTAATTTTCCAAACCACCACCACCGCCGACTCCCCCACCCCGACACTGCTTCCCGACCACTCCGCTCCACCATCTCTCCCCTTTTTTAACCACCACATCCATAGCAGCAATCGCCATTTCCGCCGGAATCTGCTACTATCTGACGGCCAAAAGATCCAACAACAACAAACAACCACCTCTGCCTCCGGGACCTCGCTGCGCCCCTGTTCTCGGTTCCATCCCAATGTTCCTCAATCGAACCCCAATCCACAGGAAATTCACCGCCCTCTCCGCCGAATACGGCCCCATATTCAAATTCCGTGTGGGCACCAAACTCTACATCGTCGTCAGCTCGCCGGATCTAGCCAAATAAGTCCTCCGCCAGCAACGGCAACCCTCCCCCACCTCACCACAACCATCGCCGCCAACGAACCCTAGGAAAGGGGTAAGAATCATCCTCCTCCTTCGATGGCGACGGAGACTCCGCCAAGTTCGTGCGCAACGACGGGATCGGCTTATTCGTGTTGCTGCTTGACGACGTCTTAAAATCGCCCATTCCAAATAGCCCATCTCCAGAGCTGGAATGTCGCCGGAATAAAATCTAGCTATGGCGGAGACAGCTTGAATCTGAGTCGATAACCACCACCACCATTGGATTTTCGAGACCCATCTTCCTCTCCGTCAAATCAAAAAATGAAAATCTCTTCCTACGACAGCGGATTCCTTGGTTCACAGAACATCGGCGAGTTCGGCTACGGAATCAGAGTCTCCATTGGCATCCTCCTTCTATTCACCATCATCACTCTCGCCTTGTACTTCTGTCGCAACACTATCACCCTTTGGTCGGTTCCACCCACCGGAGATCCATGGCCGCTTCCACCTCAATGCGGCTCGCTACAGGGGTTGAGTGGGAGGAAGAAAAGGAAGAGGGTAGAGGATTTTTAATTTATTTTTTTATTATATGATGTGTTATTATTTGCTTATGTGGCGCTGATGTGTTCGATGAGTTAGCGCATTGTCAACAAACCGTCAAAAAAATTGACGGTGTTAATAACACCGTTAAAGTATCTAACGGAAATGGCTATATTTGGCACAAATGTTTCAAAATTCTGGCTATAAGTGGTATTTCTCCAAATTTGGCTATAAGTGGCACAAGCATGAAAGTTTTGGCTATACAAGTGTATTTTGCCTTTTTTTTATTCATTAAAAGGTATGTACTGGGATTTGAACCATGACCATTTTAAAGAAAGGCAAGGATCATAACCAATCACACTAAGTACATTTATTGTATCCTTTTAAATTAAAAACATATAATAACAGGGTGGAAAAAACTCTTCCCCCATTTCAAATTCCCTGTTCCATGAGCGTTTGTAGGAAGGGTAAAATAGGGAGTGTCAATTTTTTCTCTTTCCTCTATGGAACGGGCCAACTTACCGTACACATGCGGATTTAAACGAGTCAAGGAGTGTCAATTTTTTTTCTTTATACCCTTTTATTTATCCGTGGTGATAAAATATATATGAAAAGGCAAAAATAATACTCCTTTTTATTGTTAAAAATAAAAAATTTAACAATAGACTAATGCATGGTATCTAATGGGCTAACCGCTAACCATAAAATAAAAGAGTTGAATGGGCCTGACCTACATGGGATTTGGCCATCAAGTAAAACAAATGAACATCATGGGTTTGTCATTCTAAAACAAGCTATTTTCTCTGGCATAATATATATTATGCTATTATTTTATATCTTAGTGGCTAAAATATAATGTATTTTAAAGTTATTCAATGGTTCAACCTCGACTAACCCAATTAGTCCAATTTTTATCATTTCAAATATATATTTTATAATTATTTGACATCATAATGATCAAATTATAGTGTATTTTATAGGGAATCGTTTGGTATTTGTTAGTAAAAAACTAAACATAAAAATCTATTTGGTTATTTTAAACATTAAAACGATCCTCAACATTTTCAGTTCCTTTTGAATTTATATGGTTTTATTCCCGAATAAGTGATGTGCAAATGGCAAATTGTAATCGTCTTTTTTCTTTCACTATTTTTTTATTTTCAAATAGAAATTTTAAAAGTAAAGAATAATTAGAATTTGGCATGGGTCGGTCAAACATGTTGAATTTCAAGTTTTGGCCCATTTGTTTTATGCATTGCAAATTTATTAGCATGTTGATGGAAATGGCTTGGAAAAAAGACATATAAGTTGTATCTTTGCAGAAATGTCCTCAAATGTTTGAATGCTTTGTGAATCAGGTTCTGTGACTTTTGTGATGGTGTATGTGCTTGACGATTGCTCGATGTTGTAACTACTTAATTTAAGAGTAAATCTTTTGACTTTCCCTATGAGTTGTGATACCCATTCTGGTGGTTGCAGCATGTTGTCATTGTTGGCCTGTAAAAGTTATTCCGCCGTGATGCTAAATACCTTTCTTTCTTTTTTAACAAATTGTGTAGTAGTGCTATGAAACAGACCACCCATGAACGCTACGCTTATTATGTTCTGTTCTTACTTCCGGTGGTGAGAAATTGTGAATTGAGAATCATATTCGCCTACCGCACTGTGTCTGGTTGGTGGCTGCTTACTGTGCTCTCTAGAGTTATGAAACAGACTACCCATGAACTTTACCCTTAAGAGTCCACAACTTTGCGAAAAACCAAATATAGGCAATCAAAGGTGGTGGATGTGTGATGATTTTTTATGGCTTAATTGTTTGTGAATTAGATATATGATCTTTGTATGATTAGAGGGGATGTTTGCTTAATAGAATAATCCATTTTAATTCATGTTTATTTTTAACATGAACTTTAGTAACTCAAAACCTTTGAGATACATATCACCTACTGCATTGTATCATTTTGCCTGGGTGCTTGCTGTGTTGTCAAACTTCTTTGCTGCTGATGCATTTACACTAACAGGGGAGTTAAGAACCCATGAATGTTTCCGTTTGACACAAACAAGAGGACTTACTTCTAAATCATGCACTAAAGATGATTGGAGGAAACATCTCTGTTGTAGTTGATACACTGGAGACCATAACAAAAGCAACGTATAACATCAAAACCAACCATCTGAACTATTAGCATTGTTGCTTTACTCTTTTTTCGTGGTTGAGTCTCCTTCAAAAAATTTAGTTTGATTTTAGAAAATTTTGCTTCTGCAATCCTGTCTTGCCACCAACGCGTTCAGTAGATGGAGATGGCAGAGGCGAAGGCTATTTTGTGTTGTTGTTGCTGGTTTAGGGATCGGTTTGTGAAGAAGAGGGAGAAGAGAGGGGGAAAGGGAAATGCATGAGAGGGGGATAACTCTTTTCTCCGACAAAAATGGAGTGAAGAAAGGAATTATGATCAGTAAGGATATGGTTATCTTACATAACTGTGTCTATTCTGTTTGAATTGAGCTTGGGAGGTAGTGATAAGGACGAGCTGCAACCAATTCATAGTGATAAGAGTGCTATGAACTGTGATCATGTCTTATTTCAAGTTAGAAGGTAGTTTCAGTATAAGGATTATTTAATTTGACAAGTTGTTTCGTCCATGATTCTTGGTAGTTTCAGTGCCATTCTAGCCATTGTTTAGTCTGTAATTTTTGAGAATTGATGTGCGAGTAATGACTTTCACTTAGCTTCAACTATTATGTGTGTATTTATTGGCATGTGATAGAATTCTCTTTTCCTTTTCTTTGAATTCAGTTTCATACTCTAATTGTATCATTTGTACATAGGCAAATCATGCTCGAGATGACAACTCGCTGATATGGCTGGTGCAAGGAATGAAGCCATCATTAAAATTCAGACCGACAACGGGGAGGGATGCCCAGGACTAATTCAATGATGATTGATGATGGTATGATAAAAACTGCAGTCTGCATCAGCACCAATTTCTAGGCCTAAGTAAAGTTATTCAACCCAGAACTCTGCTTAGCGCTAAAAATTGCCCTCACCCAACCTTTATCCTGTTTGACCCACTTCTGAAGAGTCAAGATATATTACTAATTCTCTCCGTTCGTATTTTCTTATTGGCTCTTTCTGACCCTTTAGGTTGGGGCTGGTCGGGAAGAATCGGATTAGTGGGCCGGTCCTAATCAAGTGGAATCCCAATCCCTTCACTCTCACTTGCTTTCTCTCCCATTTCACAAGTGGGTAACATACAGTAATCCGGCCAACGGGCCGGGTAATAAGCTAGTATTCTTTATGTTTGTGGAGACATGTATAATTTGTTCTTTCTAATTGTTTAGAATGAAGTTGATATTATGAAGTGGAGAGTGAAGAAACTTAGTTGACGAGGAAGAAGCTTTCAATTAATCTTATTGTTTATAGATGTTTATCTTTAATTTTGAACAATTTGTATTGATCATTTGCGGTTTGCTTGTATGCTCTAGATTGGTGGTTTTTGTATGAATAATTTGTATGAGAAAATTGATGTTAAACTTTTATTTTGAAAGAAACTTGTTATTGTAAATTTTTTTACCACAAAACCCCACGGGTACACATGAACCCGCGGATACCCAACGGGTTGGGTTGGGTTTGAGTTTTTCAAACCCAGCGGGTTTTACCCCGAATGTTTTTGGCGGATAAACCCATGGGTTTGGTTTTGACAAAACCTACCCCAACCCGACCCATTGCCATCCCTATGTGTTTTGTAATATTTGAACCTATAATTTTTTTATATTTATTTTCTATCAAATAAATATTATTTTCTTGTCATGTCCGTTCTTATACTCAATAAAGTCTCGAAAATATTAGGCCCGACACGGTCCACTTATATACCGTGTCGTGCCCGTGCTCGTGCCCATGAAGTTTAGGCCCGACACGGCCCATAAATTATTCTTGCTCGTGCCGGGCTAGCCCATTTATTTCGTGTCCGTGCTCGTGTCGTGCCCATTGATATATTTTTAGAACAAAAAAAAAATTGAGCCATTTTTTACCAGTCAATACCATATGATATTGAATATGAGCATACATAGGCGGAGGGAGGCCCATTGGGGCTTGTCCCGGGACAGGAGTAAATTTCAGAGGAATTGGTGATGGAAAACAACGCCTATAGGTAGTATTAGAGTATTTTTTTCACTACAGCACAACTCATTACTTATTTGTAAATTGACATAAAATTAATTTATTATACTATAAACGACAGCGACAATTCCCAACAACCCTGAAATTGTCTAGCGATAGCGACAATTCCACTAGTTTTGATTCAACGAATTACAACTGCAAATGTAAAAATAGCATTTTCAGCTTTGAGTTATATTAAAAACAAGTTTCCAAGTCAATTTAGCGACCAATTTGCTAATGCTAATTTAGTGAGATACATTGAAAAAAACTTATTTAATAGTGTAGACGACGAATGTTTTTACGTTTCTTTCACAATATGAAACCTCTTTGTGGTTTTTTATAAAAACAATGAGTGTGTAGTCGGTTATTTTTAATATATGAATGAATTATGCATATATAATGAATTTTATTAATTAATTTTTAATTAAGTATTCATATATTTATATTATGAAAAGAGGACAGGGATGGTTTGAAATGCTGGCTCCGCCATTGTGAGCATACATTATAGTATGAAAGCGTACCATGATGGTATGAACATACCAAGATTGTAGGAAGGTTGAATACATGATAGTAGGAGTATACTAACTGTCATTTAAGACTTTCATCATTGTTTACCACAAGTTACCACCCCCATACCAGGATGGTAAAGTATGAAGTTTTTTGGTCCTGTATTTTTTTCACCCAGAAATTTGTATATCCAAATAGATCATGATGAACTAATTCCTTATGAGCAAATGTTTTAAGAAACGACTTAAAAACGAAGGAGTTACCATATGACATGGAGTTGGTAATGAGAGGTGTGAAAAAAAATTCTCAAAAAATATTGAAAGTTGATCTCGTTTTGTAGAGCACAACGAACTCGTTCCATTTGAGTAAAAAAATTGAAATCCGAGTTAGAACGAAGAAGATAAGAATCGATTAAGAAAACTAGGGAAAATAAAATGTCTTTAATTCTCCACCTTTATATCTGAATTTTATGAATCCACTTAAATCTGATAGCTGAGACTTGGTTACTCATTGGTCAATAACCAGGGGTTATTGACCATATCCTAAGCCGCAAAGTCTTGCATCTTGTTACGAGGGTTATATCTTGGCAAAATACACCACTGTAGCAAAAAATTTGATGGTGTAGTCAAATATCGCTACTTTTGGCGAAATACCAAAAATAGTCACTTACGTTCAATTTTTTGACGGT